AAATGATCTCAGCAAACTTCCAGAACTGTCCAAGAGTAATACAACCACCACTCGAGCTGAGATGAAAAGACAAGCTAAATTTAAGGCTTAGAGAGTAAGAGGAAGCTCTGTTGTAACGTGTAGAGAGTGTGGACATCTGTGGGGACTTGGGACAGTGTGGAACACAGGGGCTGGAGGTCATTCAGGGGAGCAGTGGGCAGACATCATCTCTAGAGTATGATTATTTGGGCTGTTGGGTGCTCAGAGACGCATTTGTAAGGTGAATCTGACCCGATTCACCGGTTCTTGGAGGACAGGGTTGACACTGGTTGGTTGGTTTGCAAGCCTGTATTCACTCAACTGCATTGTTCTTGATTAGTTGAAGAGGTTTAAATATCTAACCAGGCTCCTTGTTATCACAGTTACAGAACAATCTTTTCCTAAGTTTGTGGCAACATTTTTATTGTCACTGAGTGGCACCTTCTCCTCATCTGTAAGGCCACTTCTGTGTTCCATCAGGCTTATGCGATCTGTCTTGTACTCAATGTCTACTCAATGGTCTAGCCTTAAATTACCTGAACCCACACTTCCAAGGTGAGTGTCACTACCTCTGAGTACAACACCACAATATATGGTTACCTGTTGATTATCTGTGACATCAATGAGGTGATGGAGCTGAACATTAGAGGAAATGAAGAACATGCTAGATTTGTAGTAAGCTAGTAAGTAATTATTTAGCCATAACCATTTTGGGAAATGAGAGCTCTAACACATAGACACCTGTCCACAAAGAATTCATTTATTGGGAGAGAAGATAGAGGCTAAACGTAATCTTAGAAACTTTTTGCATATGTGAATCTTAAATTGTAATGTGTCTTAAATACACTTCAGAGATGATTAGGAAATCTGATTTGACCTGAATACTCACTTTTTAAAAAAACTTAGTCCTTTCTCTCTCTTTGTCTCGATTTCTCTCCCTTCTTTCTCCCTCCCTCTCTCTTTGGTGAGACTGGGGTTTGAACTCAGGGCTTCATGCTTGCAAGTCACGCATTCTACTGCTTAAGCCACACCTCCAGTCCACTTTGCCCTGAAAATAGGATCTTATGAACTATTTGCCCAGACTGGTCTCGAACTGCATTCTTCTTGATTGCGGCTTCACAATTAGCTAGGATGACAGGTGCCAGTGCCCTGTATTAACTTAATCCTTCTTTTCCTGTATATCTGCTAATAAGCACATTAAGTACTTGCAGTGATTAATATTGGCTATTTTCCAGACTCAAGGAAGAATTTTATTGCAATCATTGATTAGCCAGAGCTGAGAGAGCACAGGAGTCCATAGATCAGGAAGCCAGAGTGGGCAAACAAACCTGGAGACATTAGATCCTCCTAACAGCTGGGTCCTGCAGTCCTATGGACAGCACTTTTAATCAGTGACACTCTTTCTCCTATCAGTTGAGTTGGTGTTGAATGTAATACTTAAAGATAGGAAAATGACCTATGCTTTGAGTTAAAAAATGATGTGATATTCTGAGGAAGGTGGAGTTGACTAAGTATAAACAATTCTTCATACAATGCAAAAATAGGTCATAAGCACCCCAGTGTCCCCAGCATGCTGGTGTCCCTAGCATCCTCAGTGTCCTCAGCATTCTGTGTTCCTAGCATTTTCAGTGTCACTTGCATCCCCATTGTCCCCAGCATCCCCAGTTCACCCATGACAAAAGACCCAGAGGAATTAAAACCTCCCGGGGGTGGAAGAGTCTAGACAGAGTTCTTTTTTCATTGCCATCCCGGGGAATAATGCTCTCTCTGATGTCATTTTGAGGTTATGTTTTATTTAGAAAATTAGTAGGTTTTTCTTTTTCCAAATAACTGAAATTTTAGGCTAAATATTGTGCTTGCATTTCTGTGCATGAATCCTTGACCTGCATTAACAAAATTAGGTAACTGCTTCTATGTGGTGGAGAGTGTGTACAGAAGGGGTTCACTTTTCCTTCCTATGTGTTTCTTAAGGGTTATAGTGTTATGGACTATTTGTCTCCAAACATATCTTCCTTTTATAAGGACTTTTTTTGTTGTCATTTTTGTTTGGTGGGTCTGGGGTTTGAACTCAGGGCTTCATGTTTGCAAAGCAGGTGCTGTACCACTGGAGCTACTCCTCCAGTCCTATCTTCTTTTTACTTGTACAACACTTGATGTTTCACTGTTTTGAAAATAAGGGCCAACAATGGACTGGAGGTGTGGCTCAAGTGGTAGAACACCTATCTAGCAAGTGTGTGGTCCTGAGTTCAAACCCCATATTGTCACACACACGCAGGCCAGCAGGACTATCGTACATGGTAACTTATACCTTGATGATCTTGTATCACTCACAGCGTTCTTATTTCCTCCTCAGGTTTTCCTCATGATAGATAAGCCAGTTCCTTTGACTCCACTTTCTGGATCAACCATGCCCTGGGCACATGGTTTGACAGACTTGCCCACCTAGTCTAGCACCTAGAAGACTGTGTGCAGCTTGAGAACGATTTGTATGATTTTTTTTTTTTGTGGTGCTTGGGTTTGAACCTAGGGCCTACACCTTGAGCCACTCCACCATACATTTTTTGTGAAAGGTTTTTTTTTTGAGACAGGGTCTTGCAAACTATTTGCCCGGCTTAGCTTCAAACTGTGATCCTCCTGATCTCTGCCTCCTGAGTAGCTAGGGTTGAAGGTGTGAGCCACCGGTGCCAGTTTGACTTTCCTTTTCAAATGTGCTGGAGTCACAGAACACTGTATTGAGTCTCTCCTCCCAGAGATGACCGACTGACCTAGAAGCTTCCTCCATTTGGTTGGATTTATTTGCTGTTGCATTATTTACCCGTCATGATTCCTTCACATAAAGACTACTTCATCATCAGTCACTCATTATGTCCATTCTCTTAAGAGCCAAGAATAGGACTGGTGTGGAGAGAAGGGTTTCCTTTCTCTGCTTGCTGGGAGAAAGAAGTGAAGCCAGAGCCAATTCTATGGGACCCTCATCTGCAGAGGACGTGGAGCAGCAGGAAGGGAGTCTAGTAAGAGTTTGGGGTTGGGTCTGTTTTCCACACATGAAGTGTGAAGGGGGTGCTGTTTCTCGTGCTCCCTCCCTTGCTGGAATGAGGTTTTCTCTCTCTTTCCTTGGTTATTACTGGACCTAACTGGGCTTCACTGGGGGCAACTGGAGATTCAGCAAAGACACAGGATAGACAGACAGACAGAAATTTGGGGTCAGGCTGGAGACGCACAACCCTTATTGCTTCTTTTCTCTACCTTGATTCTTTAAGGCCTTACTCCTTGCAGTTCTTTAAAACCTTGCTTCTAAAGTCTTCTTTAAAACCTGGCTTAAAACCTCTTTCCTTAGGATCCCACTGTCCCATGTTTGCTCTCAGCTTATCTTTATCTCAATCGCTCTTAAAGTCTTTTGTCCCAGGCTTGCACTGTCCCACCTCTCTTTATCCCTCTCAATGCCTTGGTGCTCAAACTTGCAAACAGCCGAGCCTACAACCTGCACATGCACAACTCTTAAGGTGTCGTCCTTAGACTCGCTCTGTGCACTGTCGCCTGTTCTCTTTGGCTTTTCTTTAGCTTAGCTTTCCTAAGGCTATGCATGAAGTTCTTTCTCAGCTTTGCTTTCTGAAGCCTAAGTTAAAGTTCTCGGTGCAGACTTTCTATCAACCCCTCTTTAGCATTTTCCCTTCAATAATTCTTTTCCCTTCAGCAATTTTTCCCTTTTCCCTTCAATGATTCTTTTCCCTTCAGCAAATTTTCCCTTTTCCCTTTAGCATTTTCCCTTCAACAATTCTTTTCCCTTTTCCTTTAGCATTTTCCCTTTCAAAAGCTTCCCACACCAAAAGGCCCAAAGTAAAAGAGTCTTCCCAATATTCAAAGGCAAAAAGCCCCCACCCCAAAGCAAAAAGCCAAAAGCCAAGCAAAAAGTCCAAAAGCCCAAAGTAAAGCCCCAAAAGGCAAAAGCAAAACATCCCTCTTCCTCCTTCAGGGGTCTTTTATAGCAGCAGACAGGGTGGAGCCATGGGGAAGGGTGTGACATTGCAACAGCTTAGAAGACGCAGCTGTTCTGCCTTTCCCTGTTTCATGGCCTGGGGCTGTGCCTATCTCGGCCTACAGGTAAAAGCATTGAACTGCATCTTGCCTTGCTTGTGTCCAGTTCTCACAGGCTTTAATCCGCTCCCCACAGAGGTGTGTGGAGGGAGGTCTACCGAATAAATCCAGAGAAGGTTAAGTGTCCTGAAGAGGGGACTGTCCCAAGCAGTAGAATGTGTTGGGGAGCACAGCAGTAGAAATCTTAGACCAGAAGAAAAGTTCTGGAAAATTCTAACACTTTAGAGGTGGCTTGCACAAACACAGAAAGTTACAAATGTGGTCCCTAGTACATAGGAGTTTGATAAGGGTTTAGCACACTTTTGATTACAGTCCCTGACTTTTGATGTTTCGGCTTACAATGGAGTGAAAGGGATACACATTCAGTAAAATTGGACTTCAGTTATGAAGTTTGATTTGTCCCAGGGCTGTGTGCAATAGGATCCTTTCCCATGAAGCAGCCAGCACTCTGCAGGCTTCCATGTTGCAGAGCTAGGGTGCTTTGCAGGGCAGGTTATTAAATGCATCTCGACCTATGATGAGTTTATTGGCACGTAACCCCTCCATAAGTCAACGAGCACCTGTACTTGTGTACCTTGCTGCTGAATCCTCCATGCTCCATGACCTGTTAATTTCTGCTACCTCATCTGTTGAGCAGCAGCCACAGGGACCCATCAGCATCACACTGTCCGTACACACTCTAGTTTTCCTTCTCCTTCTAAGATGCAAGTGAAGCTGTCCCCACATTTCTATGTGAGAAGGTGAGTCTCGTAGGTTGTCTGGTTCCCGCACCTACAAACCCATGCCTTCCCTTGGAGTGGATTGCAGAGCTCACACCATCAGCATCCAGCCCACACCAGGCAGGTATGAAGCAGGGCTCTGCATAAAGCTTCTGCTGTGTTTTGCAGGTGAAGGACCCTGCTCAGCAGCCCCAGATGGTGTTCACAGTCCGCCATGCCACCGTCACCTTCCAGACAGAAGGGGACATGTGGCGGGAACAGAAGGAGCAGAGGGCAGCCCTCATGGTGGGTATCCTCATCGGGGTGTTTGTCCTCTGCTGGATCCCCTTCTTCATTACCGAGCTTGTCAGCCCCCTCTGCTCCTGGGACATCCCTGCCGTCTGGAAGAGCATCTTCCTCTGGCTCGGCTACTCCAACTCCTTCTTCAACCCCCTCATCTACACAGCTTTCAACAAGAACTACAGCAGCGCTTTCAAGAACATCTTTTCTAAGCAACATTGAGTGGAGGCTGAGGGTAGGAAGGAGCTCTTCCCACGACTGCTTGGAATGTCCGTCTCATGTAGTCCACATCCTGCCCCGTGGCCACGTGGATGAAACAAACCCTCCAAGTGCTGCAGGGTCGTCTCAAAACTCCTGGCTCGCCTCTCTCCTGCACACGCACGTAGGGCGATGTCCCCACAGGAGGCTCTTGTCCACGACCTGTCTACTGTCCCTCACTTGGCACCAGCAGCCATGGACTTGGCCCACGAAGTGCCCTTTCTTCCAGTCCTCTCCAGCATGGCCACAGGCGTTGTCCTAAAGGAGTCAAACTAGGCAGACAAGAGGGTGGGGGTGAAACAGCACAGGCAGGGTGAGAACAGGTGGGAATGAGAAGTCCTAGTGGGGATGTTCAAGGGGTGGGTAGATCATAATCCCCAGCTTTCTGGAAAGTTCTGCTCTAAGAGCCTAGTAAGTATGCACACAACTTTAGGTATTTCCCAATAGTTGATCACAAAATATTGTCTTCAAACATGTTAAAGTGCATAGCCTACCTATGAGTACAGCACACTCTCACACACACACAACAGAAAAATCTACTAGTTTCATAGAACCTGTCAAACTTGCTTATCTGCTGTGAGTAGAATTTTTTTTTAATGTTTCTGGGCAAAGACTTTATCCTTGGACCATGAGATTAGAGATAAATAACCATCGTGAAGTTGTTGACTTCGTAAATGCAGTTTCATGACCAGTGACAATGAAGGCACTTTCACCTGATGCAGGCACTTTGACGGATCATTGATTAATTTGGAACAGCTGTTCTGTTGTTTTGTTGTATATGAACGCTGACTTGTAAGTAATGAGAAAGGCAGAACAATAGACAAGTGGGGCCTCAGTCAAAATGGCAGCATGACTGGTGACAAGACAATTAGGTGTGGACACAGTGTTGTACGATCATGTCAAACCTTAGGCACACCTACACTGCAAAGACAGCCAAGGAGCTTGGAGAAACATCACGGAAGAATCTGAGAGAGAGAGAGAGACAGAGAGAGAGAGAGGGAGAGTGAGTAGATGGTTCTTTTTCCAGAATTGTGTGCTAGCTGACTTCCCCAAGAACAGAGGATATTCTACTTCATCCCTAAATGAACTCCCAGAGGAACTGGGGTGACATCTCAGCATTATTGGTTTCCAACAAAATCCTGACATTGATTGTAGCATTTCTTATTACCTTACCCAGTGATGTGAGCAAAAGGGTCAATACTTAAAATTACAGCAATCCTTAACAATAGGGTTAGTTTTTTATCACTATTGAGAAGTCACTTGTGGGGTCTCCAACTACTGAGGTGACCCTTCGAGGGAAAGAGATGATGGGGTTATTGCAAAGATCTTCAGAGTCATGCAAACCCTGCATTTCTTCAGTCAGCTATAAGTGCAACTGTTAACATCCTCAAGAGTTCTTGACTTTAAATAAAGGAGAAGTTCTCAAAAACCCTGGGGTTCACTGCCCTGGACCAATGGCCTCAAATGGCCTTTTATATCAGGTGACTCAGTTTGAGCCAGGCTGAAGAATGGACTAGGGAATCATCTTTCTAAGAAGGAATCATTCACCAAGCCACAGACTGTTACTTACAACACGATTTTGTTAAGCTGTTTAAGTGTTTTGTTTTACCTTAATCACAATTGATAGACTACAGAAGGATTACTTTTTGCTGAGCCTGAATCCTATGAAAACAATGCTTGCAAAATGTTTTAAACTGTGTAACTTCTGAACTGTGTTCTTAGTCAAATTTTGCTCTTTATTCAGGAGTCCTCAGTGTGAAGAATCTTAAGAACAAAAGCAAGTAGGAACACGGTTATTTTTTCTCTGTTCCTTCTTTGTAACTCTAAGTACGAATGAATCTCTCTGTTAGTGAGTGCCTACTTGGCTCAGTGCTAGACACTTAATAAACTATTTTATTTCATCTTTTCAACCCCAAAGGATTCTGACCTCCCAATACCACTTCTCTGAGAATGTTAGGCAGTTTCACCCATATTTCATCTCAATTTAAAAAAAAAACAAACTTTGACCATTATACAAAATTTCAAAAAGCTCTTGGCAATAAAACTCCCTGTTGCCTCCTACGTCTCTGATTCTCTGAGTGTATAAATTAAAAATTGTGTATTATAGGCCAGGTGTGGCAGCACATGCCTGTAATCCTAGCACTCAGTAGGTAGATACAGGAGGATTAAGGGGAGGCCAGCCTGTTCCACTTAGTGAGACCCTGTCTCAAAAATATTGTGTATTACAATAGTCTTGGAATTATTATAACACACCTAATAATATACCTGCATTATACATATATGCTATATAATAACATATTAATTAATTTGCCTTTACTGCAAAGACTATCTTTATATGAGAACGTGGGCAGGTGAGGATGTGTGGGACACCGTGAACCATGACTGGTGCTGTGCAGAACCCAGATCCCCGCCCCCGCTGTGCACTCCAGCAGACTCACTGAAAAAGCAACTCAGATGCATCCTGAGGTTGCTTGTTGCCCACCAGCCCTTGCTTCTGGGTATATGGCTTGAAGTGCTAAGCCCACAAATTCTTAAAAATAGACTGTTCCCTTACTCAACTTACCTGTTCCCCACTATCACTTGGGACCAGGAAGATCGCCAAGTGCCATGGTATTCTAATATCATAAGTGCTGGACTGCGTGATGTGACCCATCGCAGAGAGGAGTGGACTCCAAGCAAGGACTCCAGAATCAAGAGTTAACTTGACAATGTCGGTTCTGCCCGAACAGCCAGGTGAAGCATTTCATTCTATCGCACAGTTACTGTGTTGGCCGTCTTGTTCAAAACGGTTTTATTTCTTTGGAACTCTTCAGTAAAGTGAAGCTCCAGAAGATGTGTGGTTCAAATGCTCCCCGACTCCCTCATGAGGCCGTACACCCTAGTCAGAGAAAGATGCTATCCCCCAAACAATTCAAGTCTCCAGCTGATGTTATCAATCTTTTCATCATCCTCGTTGCATACGTGCTTAGCGTCACCCAGAGAGCACTTTCAGTGTGCATGATATAAAAGTCTGTGTGCACTACCCACAGTAAAGAACACAGTAAAGGAAGTATTTTGCTTGCATTTCAATACAAGGTATTGTTTGTTCCAGGAAAGGAATATCACAAGACGCAGATGTTGACTGGGCCTGGTTTTGACTTTCTGACTGGACATTAGACACTGGAGGGACAGGCATTGCTGTAGGCTGTGTGCCCAGTTCTTGGGAGCCCTTTGAGTGGGAGTCGTGGTCTCTGTGGGGGGGCCTGTGTGTAACTACCCTGTGCTGCAGGAGCTCCTCTGCTTGTCATGACCTTTGGTAATCAGAGCGACACCCCCTCATCTAAGGTTTTTGGAGGTGGACCCTACTGAAGAATTCCCCCAGAGGAGGGGGTTGAGGACTTCGGAGGACAGTGGCTTGCCTGTTCCCAGCCTGCAATGTTCTCTCCCCTTTGTCTTGTCATTTTTAGATTTTGATTTTTGCCTCTTTTCCTTGACTCAGTATATGAAGTAGCCACCTTATATGTGAATAATAATTTGCAAGCAAAATGATACATGACATATAAAATCACCAATTAAACATCTTCGCAGTTTTGTTGTTTGTTTGTTTTTTGAGACAGGGTCTCACTGTGTAGCTCAGACTGGCCTCACACTCGTGATCTTTCCTGCATCAGTCTCCTGAGGACTGGAATTACATGTGCACCACCGCGCCTGGCCTGTAATACACAATTTTTAATTTATGCACTCAAAGAATCAGGGACATAGCAACAGAGAGTTTTATTGCCCAAGAGTTGTGCAGTCAGATGCAGGTGGAAGACCGGCTTCAGTCCTTCACAGTTCTCCAGGGACCAGGCAGGGTTTATCTCTCTCTCCTTCTCTCTCTCTCTCTCTCTCTCTCTCCAGTTTCAAGGCTTGTTTTGTTTTGCTTTGCTGGCTTAGCTGCCTTCAGAGCTTCTTCATCGGCTAACAGGAAGGATGAGCTAGTGACCTGATATCCAGAGAAAACAGGTCCCCGTGTTCAGATGGAAAAGAACAGGCTGAGCTATCAAACTGGTCTTCAGTGAGCGCTCAGGATCCCTAAGTCGGTGGATTTCCCTCTGTAAGGAATTGGCAGCAGCCTTGCTCCGTGGGAAGGAGGCAAGCTGGGCAGACGGGGCCTGGCTGCTGTTCCCTCTTTTCTGAGGCAAGGAGAAAGGGATGACGTCATACCATGTGCATCAAGCCCTACATCCCAGCAAAGGCTGTGTTCAGGAGACCAGGGATCAAGACACCGGGGGTCACTGGGGTGTGCTGGGTGGGATAAGGGCAGGCGGTGATGCCCACTTTAGAGCGAGGAGGCAAGGCGGAGAAGCCCCCTGCTCTGGCTGCCCCCACAGCCACCTCTCCTCACCCCAGCTCCTGGTCAGAGTACGTGGTGTCCTGGAAGTCACTGTAGCTCTGAGTGTGTGTGTTAAATTTCTCCACCTGTGTCCCCACAAGTGAGAAAGCCATGAATAAACTCGGAATGGGAGCTAGAGGAACCTGTGAGTGGGACCTTTCGGCCAGTTCCTGGTGCTGCTCTTGTTGCTTTGGACCTAAATTCTAAGGTGAAAGGCCCCGAGGGGATCCTCCCCTCTTCCCCACATGGCAGGAACTGCAGCTAGAAAGGTGCTGTTGAGACTAATTGCCCAGCCACGTGCCCGGGGGGGTGTGTATGTGTGTGCACATGTGTAAGTGTGTGTGTATGTGCACGTGTGTGTCTTGGGATCTAGCAGGGGTACCTCCCCCACTCATGTGCACCCTTCTCACTGTAGAGTGCCTTCCTGTTTACTGGACAGGAGGAAGTTCCGTGCCAATGGGTCTCATTGCGACACTATCAGGTTCTGATGATTACCCCCAGGGAAGTTTCCCAGGATGGCACACTGCACAGTCACAGCCCAGAATCCTTCCTTCTGTGAAGGACACAGCTGTTACCTCAGTTCCCACCTCCAGAGAGACCAGGTGCTTGTAGAAGGACCCTGGACGGTGGGAGGTAGAATCTC